TCCTTCAGTGTCTCTGGATGACTAAGGGTCAAATAGAGTGCAAGGTTCAGTGTAAATATTGGTCAGCAAATGGAAAGACTGTTCTTAATATACTAATATATATCCAGTATATTGTGTGATGGGTGCTTATACAAATTCACAAAGATATACTTTTTTGATATAAAGGGTTCTTAACAGTTTAAAAATTTCACAATTTTTCTTAATAATACTAAATATTGTTCATGGACATGTAACACACCATAATAACTTTTTCTGTATTTACATCTCTATGCAATTTAGTGATGTTGAATTTAGTGATGTTGTGTGCGTATGTTTGTGCATGATTTAGTAAGATGTATCTCTAGACAAAAAAGGAAAAAAAATGCTGGTTAAATGAGGCATTTTTTGCTCTTCACAACAAAGATTTTTTTCTTTTCTGTTCTTCTTTGGTTATTATAAATGTTGTCAGTATGATTTTTGCAAGTGATCCTGTTAAATACTGAGCAGCACTACACTTGCTTCCCATTTCAGAGAAAATCAGGCTAAATATAGTTAGCCAGAAGTTTTCACTGACAATAACACTGTCCCCTGTGTACCTGGACAGATATTAGAGACTGGAGTCAATAGCCTATCTCCTTCAATCACCTTTATGGTAACTGAGGTCCCAGGAGCTAGTGAGGATTAAGCCCTGTCTTGCTTTCCCTATGGATCAACAGCAAACCTCTGCCTGCTCTCAAGTGTTCAGAAGCAAGCCCTGGATTTATGACCCTCATGTACACAATAAAGTGAATATGTCTTGCACCATTCCCTTGAGCAGGAACCAGGTGAAAACTTTTGTTCAGACCAGTACAGCCAACAGTGGGAACTGCAGGTCAAGAGTGTGTCTAAAAGCATTCATCACAGTTTAGGTTTCAGTGAGAAAACCTGTGCTGAAATTCACTGAAATCTAAAGGAGAAGAAAAATGTACTCTATGGGATATGAAAATATTTTCTCCAAACTACCAATTCCACTTACAGACTATAGGAATGACATGTCCTGCAATCTTGCTGGAGCTTCTTTTCTGTCTTTTACTGCAAGCTAAGACCTAGGCAGGGTTTTATTACAACAATAATTTATATTTTTTATTTATTTTCAACACAATGCTACCTTACAAAGAGATGAACTGAAAGATCACAGTTAACCGATGCCAGTAGTTCATCTACCTACCCACAGGGACTGAAACTATTACACTGTAAGATACACATCTATGGAAGAATTGCAGTTTGAGCTTTTACTGCAACATTTCACAGAGCAGCTCTGCTTGTCAAATGGAGTTTTACTGTTAAAGTATATTAGATAAGAATTCACCTATCTAACCCTAATTGAACAAAGAGGTAATCTGGAGTCACTTCAGCATAAATGAGAACCTTGATTACACCCAGGAATAATTTGGCCCCATGCAATTGGTATAGACCACTAACTGCCTGATACACTTCATGTGACTTTTAATCACATTTGCTTTATACATGAGATGTAATTCTACCAGAGATAGTCACATGCTCTAATGCATTGTAAATGGGGTACAATGCACTTAGCCAAATTTGAAACTACAGTAAATAATTTGATTATTATATTTTCAAAATTATATGCAGTAGTGTCTTGTCAGTTATCTACTTTTTGAGTTTTCCAGGTTTAAACAATGTGCAGGCATTAAAAAGACCATTAAAATGTTATGCTTCATTTACAAAATGGTGGAAGGTGCCTAAGATTCCAATACAGTGCACAAATACAAAATACAGCCTTTTTGATAACTTGTCCTGTAGCTGCAGTCATATTATATGCACTGAGTAGGAATCTAATTACTGCACCAGGTACAGGGCATTATGCTGACCATGAGCTGTCCTAGAAAAACACTCAATTTATTTATTTTTTTAAGATAAATTTCTTCTTGGACAAAAACTCCATATAGTTTTCTGAAAAAAAAAACCAGTATGCTAAGATCTTTTATGATGTCCTACATACAAGTTAACAGTTCATTTTCGAGCCCCACTTGGAAATACAGTATGGGAAGATAGCAAAGTATTATTACAGATATATGGTAACAGCCATTTTTAAGGATAGTTGTAAGGTAGAACTGGCTTTCTTTAAGACACTGCATAGCTAAGGAATTAGCTTTCCAAGTATGCAAGACAAGCGCTTCGTTTTAGCTAGGGTGCAATTTAGTGAAAGCATTCCAAAGAAAGAGAGGTTAACAGGACAAAAAACATCCCAGTCCTTGCTCTCTTCTGACTGCTCTCTGCCAAGGTTATGTTCTGCCTTGCAGAGAGAAAATCTTTACAAGGGAACAATTGTTTTATATCTTTAACTTTTACAGGAAACTCAAAACTTTTTCATTTTTTTTTTCATGCTGTACATGTCCATGGATTGAATTTTGACTCAGAAGCTGTCTTTCCAGTGCACATCCAGGTTTGTGCTAAATGTGCATTCTAGCTTTAGGCAGCTCATATTTTGCTAAGGATGCCTCTTGTTCCTTAAACACCCCCTCTAGCTCAGTATGCAGAACAGAAACCTAACACTCATGTAGCTTGCCTAAGACTTTTCTGTGAGAGAAGCTTGTAATAGAAACTCTCAACAGGGTTTTGTGCCCTTGTTCTCTGCACTTTGCCTTCCACTTGGCAGCACATGAGGCATTCTGGCACGTATTTTGGCACTGTAATTCTTCCCTGTGAACAGACCCTGTCCACTTTGCCCATGTTAACATCGTGTTTTACAGCAATGTAACCTCCCTGCAGTTTAGGGCAAAAAATCTTTTCTGTGCTGTGCCACTGCTGGCCTGCATGGGACTGACCTGGGTTTAGGTTTGTGGGATGCACTACTGGGACCACGTGTGAATAATGTGTAACTATAATGAGGTGAGGCACACCTGGGATTTTAGAAGTCTGCCCTGTCTGGTACACCTGAGCAACCCTGTTGAAAGCAGCAGTGATACAAAACCATTGCTAAGGGTTGGAGCTGCCAAGCTAATTTTCAGCAGAATTAGTAGGGGAATTCCCATACAACTATCCCTTATAGTGTATTGAAGTGTGGTGATCCAGTACTGTGCTGCTTCTCAGAAAAAATCTCATGGTGATTTCAGTGGGAGAGCCCAAGTGGAACTAGACCTTGTGTTTGTCACTGCAAGTACACACCTGAAACACTGTGAACGAAACAACAGCCGATACTGATACTTGTATTTGAAGTAAATTCAATTCTGGAAAGAATCAGGATTCTGAAAATGTATGCTATAGAAAAGTCTAAATATCCTTCTTCTTGGAATAGGGTTCAAGAACTATAATCTCCCAGACTTTTGATATAAAATGAGTAAAAGCAGTGGCAAATCATAACTAAAGCTCCTAGGTTCTTCTACTTTTAAGGAAAATTAAAAGGCACATTCACAATAAGGACACAGTTACTGAGATCTGTTACCTTTGAAAATCACTGAGAAGCCATGTTGTAGCTACAGAAGCACTTTGTAGACTCCTTAAATGAGTGGGCCAGATTCTGCACTCATGCTACAAGGGGCAGTACTGGGAAAAAGCACAGCCTAAATCCCCATGTAATATTTTAAACTTTATAGATTAATCTTTGCTGTGTTGCAGCAACTATAATACCTTGACTCCTTGCTTTCAGGATACTAACTAGCCAATTCTCCAGACACATGGGATTAAGAAGTTGCTGAAAAGTAGAGACAAAACCAAAGGCAGGGGTCTGCTGCAGGCTGTAGGAGCAGGCCTGTGGCTGGGAGAGGCAAGTGGTTTGATCCACAGATTGCTGGCTGGGAGCCTGTAGAAACAGGTGTCAGGATTAATTGGTACCAGAACCACGCACCCATGCAAGTCACTTCCTCAGAGCAATGTTAGCCAGGTCATCATGTATCCTAATATACTTACACTTCTGTAAGACACACGTGTAGAGGAGAAACCTTTTCATTTCTGTGTTTGGCAAAAGTGTGAATACCATGAATATATCTTTCATAAAAACAAACAAAACAAAGTCATCCTTTACCAAGAGTGACATTTAAAAACTCCCAGCCTGGCTGTTGAGAGATACTACTTGACTCGTGCTTCTCTCAGCAGTCACAGCAAGCCTAAAAACTGGACACTTGCCATGCTGTTGTGCTGGGTGTCACTTGAGCTTTGCAGGGCAGCGCTTCTCGGCATGAGCCCCTGTATGTCACAACTCACCCCAGCTATGTGCTGCAAGATTACAGTGTGGTGATACCTCCCGTTGCTACTGTGTGATGAAGGTAACATCTCCCCACACCTTCCCTAGGGATTCACAGAGACACCTTGTACTTAGACTTCCCTTCTGGAGCAGAAGCTCAACCATCTCCAGTGGACATCACTTCTAGTCTAGAAAGAAAATCCCTGAGTAGTTCTAGGAGTTGCTTTAAAAATAAGCAGCTGAAGGAGATGTTAAATCTTGTCTCTGAATTTTTCATCAAAGAAGCACCATTACAAGTGGAAAATAGAATGTATTTTCTTAGTTTACGATTGTCTCTAAGCCTCAAGAACCCTTTTTTACACTGCTGTCAGGAAAAAAAAAAAAACAAAATGTTGTATCTGTTTCAGATTAGTGAAATTTTGAGGGTTGTGTCAGACAAAACCTATTTTTATGACTTGTTTTTCATTCTTGAAGTCTACTGTATTTTTGCAAATAAATATTGGACGTAAAGGGATAAATTTCTCAGCTAGCATATATCAGCACAGCTCCATAGATTTGAATAGGGCTATGCTGGTTTAAGCCCATCAGGGACTGGCCTCACAAAAAGCTTTGTAAGCTTTTTGAAGTTAAAGGAACAGGCTTGTTCTGTGTTTAGGTGCTGAAAGAAAGGGAAAATTATGAGCACAGAGTAATGTAGACTACAGCTTTAAATGACAAACTACAGAGTATTTGGAGGGCTTAACGGCTAATTGTAAAAATGTACTACATTTGTTGAGAAAGTCAGAAAATTACATCCTAAGTACATGTACTCTTTACATATTTTTATATATATTCCACAGTTATTCAGTAGGTGGCAGTTAAAAGCCTAGATGAGCTTTGCAGTCGCCATTTAGGCAGTAGCATCAGCAGAGGCTGGAGTCAGTCCATCCGTGAAAGCAGAGGGAAAGAGAGAGGCTGTGATCAAGCCAACAGAAGCATTAGCCACAGCCGGGGCGCTGGGGAGAAAGCGGGAGAGGAGCAGAACCGCCAGAGCACCGAGCCTCTGAGCACACTGCGGGCAGCAGCCAGCGCAGGGAGAAAGGAGAGGCAGCAGGCGACGGGGCTGCAGCCCCCTTGGTTAAGTCAGGGTCTCCTTTCTCGTGAGGAAAGCCAGTGCAGAGGGTGAGCAGCTGGTGTGATGAGAGGCAAAAACTGAAGAGCATTTGGAGCTTTCTGTTCCTTCACAGGTAATTCTTTTTTCCTTGTTTTCCTACATCACCTCCTACAATAAACATAGTTTTGCATTGAGATTAGAGCTCTTTATGTCCTTTGGCCAAAATCCAGACTCCTCACTCAGACAAAATTTCCACTGAAGTCAATAGAGTTTTGTGTGAGTTATGACTGCGAGATTTGATCAAAGCATGTATCTTATGCAGAGAACATGTCATGCTGTAAGATGGGGCTGACAAAGAAGGCAGAAGCTAGTCATATACATACTGGCCAGTCAAACATAATTTTTATATGTACTGGGATGCTAGTTGTGTCTTCATAACCTTTTTTTTTTAAACTGTCCACTAAAGCTTGATGTGCCGAATTTTGCCTTAGTTTATACCACTGCCACTGCAGTGGTTTAAGGACAGATTCTTTTTTAATTATTATTATTGTTAAATTAAAGCTACCTTATGTAATAAAATAATAAAAAAAGTGATGAGTTTGTATGAAATTAACACCAGGTGTTGCTTTCTTTGAAACAGATATAACTTTGCAGCATTCCACTGACAGGTGGGCAATATTTCATTTTCGCAGTAAATTGTGCCTTTCTCAATTGAATGAAACAAAATATATTATGAAAGGCCATTCTCAAGAGTCTTTTAAGTGGCTGAATTCAGGTCTGATAGTACTTCTTCTCTTGCTATCTTCTCCATGAAATGTGAATGCTGTGTATGCTGCAGCACTCAGTCACAGCTGGGTGAGCCCAGAATTGAGCAACCAGATTTGATGTATTTTATATTTAAAGAATTTTCTGAAAGTCTTGTTTTCTTGAGTTCTAGTCATACATGAATACATATATGCCTGTTTATAAATGCACCGTTGTATAGGAATGTAATATGTGCATCTCTGTACCTATTCATGTAAACAAAGCTGTTGCAAGCAATTGCTGTTACACCTTTGCTAGGGTTTTCAGTTTACTGTATTTAGAATGTTTGCAGGTGTTACAATTTTTAATTCTGGGTCAGAGGCATATTTTGGCTTCCCCTGTGTGTGTGCCCATCTGCCCCCCTTGCCCCTTTTACTTTTCTGAGTGATGGAATTCACTTGTGTTCAGCAGCTGTCCTCCAGGGTCCAGCTGTGGTTACTACACCTAGTAGTGCCCAGTCTTCCCAGAATGGTATCCATGCCATCGTTCAGGGGCTATGATGGCTATAATGTGGTATCCCTCCAAGTGTCACGCTCTCTTACACTGCACAGCGCATTTCTGAGGCTCTTGCATGAAGAACTGTCCAAACATGAACAGGTTCAAATTTGCAGCTGCCAGTCAATGGTGCCATGGAACTAGGGGAATGATTGTGATGTACAGCTATTTGTCTTCATCCCTGGGAAAAGAGAAGAATGAATGAGTATAAATGGGCTGTGAATACACTTAAGCTGGAAGGTTTCAAACCGTTAATGCAGCAAGGTTCTGATAATACCTTCTTGTTGAAGTAATAGAAAGTGAAGTCTCTAAAAGCTTTTCAGTTGGAACTTGGTGGAAGGGTTTGTGTGAAATGGTTCCCTGCAAGGGGATTTCGTAATCCAGAAGTCTCTTTCAGTACTAAACACCATTCTTACTTTTCACTGGAAGTGTCTGCATTTAAAAGTCTCTGCAAATGGGTCAAGGTCTTTGGAAGCACAGTTTTCCCCACATCTCACAGCCGAGCAACTGAAAGCATATTTCTCTTCTTGGTTGTGCTGCATTGCTGTTTATACCAGCAGGCACATAAGCCCTAATGCGTCTGCTGGTGTAAACAGAAATATTATTCTGAGGTGGTCATTAGGCTGAATAATATTACCTTCTCACAGTGCAGAACATAGCTCTGTGGAAGATGATTTGAGTTCAGAGGCATGGCTCCTTCTGGCCAATTGGTCAAGATGATATTACCTGGCACTACAGTCTCTGTTGTACCAACAAGAGTAGTGGATAATATATAAACTGATAGTGCTGCTCCTGAAATTGTTACTAATAATGTTTTTAGTTTCTTTTGAGGATCACCTGGTAACGTTCTTTTTGTACTAACCAACATACCTGTCCATGTAAAGATCCCACTGTCCTGTGTGAAAAAGCAGACTCACACTTTCATTGTCACAATGTGTGTGCTTTTGCCTCAAAACTTAGCTCATTTTAAAAGCCTGCAGTAAACAGTATGATGGTCAAAGATGCTGCTACAGAATGACCATAGTCAATTTTGTATTCCCTTTTCTTGTACTTCTTTCTCCTTATAACCTGATCTTTTTTTTTTTTCCCCCTTCTTTTTGCCTTTTTATGGTTTTGGTTTACATAGTGCATTTTGCTTTCAATTCACAGTATACCTCAGTAACTGATCTGTAATATATAATTTGAATGTTACACCTCCCACATGTGAGAGTGTCAGGCCATTTGTACACTCAAACTGGAACGGTACTCACTGTGGAAGATTCGGTTTGACATGTAGAGCTGATTCCAAATGTTTATTACTTTGCTCTTAATGCTTTGTATTACTAGGCTTAATGGAGCAATTATCGATATTATGTAGAGAAAAATGGCAATTCTGTGTGACTTGAATGCTTAATATTACCAATATTGCTTTCCCTTTTAACTGAACAATTTCCATGAGTGTACCAGGAAAGAAAAAATCTTGGATTTGTTTTTTCTTCTGTCTGTTTTACTTTCCACACACAAAGATTTCTAAACATTAATGAAGAGATACTTTCACTGCCTTTTTGTTGTTGCATTAAAATTACGATGTACAGTAGATTATCTTATCTAAGTGCTGGAAAGTCAGTGGAAAAGTGGACCGAGCGACAATGCAACTGTATGTATGAATTGAAACAGAACATACTTTATTTTTGCATTATGAGAAAACAAATATTAATTTGTTTTCAATCACAAATACCGATTACTCTATAATTCTTGAAATGAGTATCAAAGGAAGATGAGAAAAATGTCAAAAAAGGATGTGTCAGCTCTCTGGCAAAATTCACTTTTTGGCTCATACAGGGGTCAGGAACACATCCACATAAGCAAAAAAACATTTGAGCTGAATGTTAGACTTCTTTATCTGAGATGAAAATCTGTCTTTAATTTCTTTGACTGAGCAGGGCTGCAGTATGGTATGGAGGCAAAATGCAATCACCCTCACCCTGGCTGCAGGTAATGGAATTGATTTTAGTTGAATTTGAATAAGTGTCAATGAACTTATGACAGCCTTTTAGCCTTCTCATTTAAAATATATATGTAGTAAAGCAGCCATATGAAATGAACAAATAAATTGCTGTACTGAAGGTGTTTCCTTTCCAAAATGTCCAATAATTCTGACTTAAAATTAATGTGAATCTCAGAAAAGGAGACTTATCCTCTTTATTTAATTTGATACTCCTCTCTGGAAATTGAGAGTGACAGCTTTTATCTGTTCTTAAAAAAATAATAATTTAAATAATCAAATATTAGCTACCACCAATAGCTAAAATATTGCTGTAAACCCAAATAAAACCCTTTGTTTTCACAATTTGTTCACTCAAACATTCAAAAGCTATCATAAGTTACTGAGAAAGTATTTTTTAATCTTTAGAATATAGGTTTTAGAATTCTGCTTACTGCTGCAAGAAAAATAAACATGAATAGAGAATAAGGTATTCTAAATGCTAAACCTACCTTTCTTACTTCAGAATAGAAAGTACTGAAAGCTGGGCAGTGAATAAGGTTAATATGAGATTGTTTTCCTGTTTAAAAATAATTTAAAAAGTCAGCTAGGAAAGTATTCAGTTTTGTGAAAGTCCTGAGATGCAGATTTGCAAATTAATTCTTAAAAAAATACACTTTAGAGTAAAAAAAATTTTTTTTTTTTTCCCCAAAACAAGGTCATAATAAATTGCACATCATAGACAGGAAATAGATTCTTGTGAACACTCAGAAACTCCTATCAGAAAGCTGTCATTCCCCCCCTAGCTATACTTTAATTTCTGGTTTTCAAACCTTTCCTATTTACAGAAATTTTTCTGTGGAAGTGCAAGCTCCTTGCTATATCAGGAGGCCTACTGACAATGGGACTGCATTACTTATTTACTTGTCAGGGATGCATCTGGTTTCTAAAACCCACTTCATTAACCTATTTGAAAGTTATTGCCCAACAAACCAGTTGCAAAAGATATTATACTGGCTAGTAGGGCTTCTGGAGGACTTAACCATGCACAGGTCATCAAGACAGGTACTCATATTCTGAGTTTAAGACATGTTGTTTTGCATAGGTTATTATTTGATCTGTGGAAGAGTATCAGAAGTGTTCCAGTGATCTGGACAGCACTCAAGCTATCCTTTCCAGCCCAGCAAGGAAAAATAATGATAGGATTTATATTCATAAGTTGGAAGACTTGTATTTAAATAATTCTCCTTCCGTATCAGATTTGCAAAAATATTCTCAAATTAACATTAAGAAATTGAGGACTCTGGTGGAAAGGCAAAAGGGACACTGGTCTTTGTGCCTCTTCCTCTGCTGAATGAAACCAGTCTTTCACAGACACATGGTTCTGCTGTATAAATACACACATTTATGGGATTTTCTTAATGAATCTCACATATATCAACATCCAAAGTTCCTAGAGTCAAAAGATTATTTAGGAATTTTTCCTTCTTGGGTTTTTTTTTTTCTTGCTTGGTTGGTTTTTGTTTGTTTGTTTTAGTTTTGTGTTTGTTGGTTTGTTGGCTTTGCTTTGTTTTTTGGTTGTTGTTTTTTGTTTCTTTTTTTTTTTTTTCCTACTTTGTGTATGATTCTAACTTTCTCCATTCAGGAAAACTTAAAAGCCACATCCTTTCCTATAAGATGCAGAACAAAGAGTCACCAGTTTTGGACATCTGGAGAGCAGAAGTTCACTGCAGCATGTAAAGTCATAGATAATTACCAAAAAGAGTATTCTGCTATTGAAAAACAGAGGGGCTGAAAGGTCAAACTGAGTCTCTGATCGTGCATTTACGTGAGTGATAAATTCCAGTTAATAATCCTGCTGCTGTACTCAT